GGGTGCAGCGCAAAGCCTGCAATTTGGGAGAATGAAGCCTTTTAGCAATAGAGGACAAGCTATCGTGAGATTCGTCGATTCACCGAGTCTCACACCACCTGTAGCGCGGAGCTTAACAATCTTGCCTCCCCTCGGGGAGGCGTGTGTGTGTAACCCTTGGAATCATAGGGATCCTTTCGGATTGTTTTAGCTTCACAGTTGCTTTCCTTGTGCAGCAGGGGGCATGCGGCCATCACGCAAACGCATGCCAACGAAGCTACGCCAGCTATGTGTGATGGTGGAAGCCAGGTCTGATCAACCTGGTGTACCTGCGTTTGAGAACCTAAGTATGGCAAAAGCTGTCTCATTCTTTGTTGTGCAGTAAGCGGCTAATGCACCTTGGAGTACTTGGACCTTCAGAGCCCTCCGGATTTGCGCGCCCCGTCGTCACCTCGTCGACCCGTCGTTTCGTGGCTTTCGACCTTGGCCTTTAACTACAGGCGCTCAGGCCCCCTTACCTGGTTCTTCAGGATTTGGTTTCTTAGGCTGGCGAGTGGCACCGCCTTCAGTTCAGTACACCCTATCCTAAGTGTGTGTGTGTGTGTGTTTCTTGGTGAAGGTAGGTTCAGTATCATGAGTTGCCTCCCCTCAGTGTGAGTTTGCACGAGATCAATGATAGGAGTGCTGGAAATTCCCCACATGCTCAGGGGAACTTGGATGTTTGATCCGCAGCGCCTAGCACTTGTCGGAAAATGGTCCCAAAGGACATGTGTTCGCCTTGCTTCGCTTGCAGGCCATCCAATCACGCCATACGAGCTGCATGAGGTGTCTCCTATCCTTATGGGATCCTCATTGGACTCATTGGGGTCATGTTTGGGAGTGTGCTTTGAAGATGGTTGGTGGATGTTCTAATGACGGTTTGAGGAGAGCAAAAGAAGTAGTAGAATCGTCTTAGATAGTAATATAGCTGGCAACTAAGCCATCAGGGTATGTGTCTTCGTGTCCCCTGTGCCAAGGCTCAAGTGGTCGATCAAACGAAAGAGAGGCCAGAAATGTTTCCCAACGCTTGGAGGACATGCATTCTAGCTCGGCCACTGCTGTCGAGACCTCACCACAGCTCATTTGTGGGAAGAAAACCGCGAGTTGTCAAAAGCAGGGAGCACACAAGGCGCAACCTGACTAAAAAATGTAAATGTAAAAGATCAGATCATTCGAAGATGCACTTCACAGGTGAACAGTGTCAAAATGATCATACGCCAGCCAAAACATGGATCACTGCCAAGAACCAGACCCGACGCAGGCGGGCATAGCCATGCATGTCCTGAAAGCCATGCTGATAGGCTTGGTTCAACTGCGCAATCAGCAGGCTGAAAAGGAAGATGGTCACCACCATGCAGAAGATCAAGATGAGAGCCTGAGTCGACGAAAAACCGACTGAGCGGCTTCACCCAGCCTTGGTGAACCAGTTGCTGGGAAACTCCAAACAGGTGGATCCAAAACAAGTCTCGACAATCCACCAAGGCGCCAGAAGAATTTCTTCATGCCTCATCTCATCAAACAAGGTCGGTGGGAAAAGGCTCAGTGCAATCCTCAGCATAGCACAGGAGACAAGCCGGCCAGGGGGTCCAGGCCCTCAAACCAAACATGCGACAAACACATGGTCAACACATGTTGCTCAAGCAACTAGTGTACAAATCAGCTTCGGGCAAGCATCTCTGTCAAGGCCATGGCTGATTGGGGGATTCCTTTGAAATCCTCAGCGAACACGGTCGTTGCCTTGACAAGCCCCAGTTCTGGGTTTGGCATATGTGGTGCTAGACCTGTCTTGTAAGGATCTGAAAGTGTCGTCCCCGGTACACGCCCAACTCCTGGTAGCAAATGTGACAAGGTTAACTGGAGCTATTTCTACTCTTCTCCACATGTTGCAACCTTTTCCCCGATTTTATGGAGATTCGTCATTGCTGGAGTAATTGCTTTCAGAAGCGGCACCTCCATGCTTTGATCCAGCGCAGTGATGGAGGTTGCGGTGGCCAGAATGACAAACACAAAGGCCAGCAAAAAAAGACCAACCTGCGAAAAGTTGCAGCTGCATCTTCACGGATTGTCAGTGAGGTCGACTAATTGATGGATTCCCGTGGTCCTATGTTCTTCCGGCTCCACACACACAAAAACAACCAAAGCATGCAGTGGCTGACCCCAGGTGCCCTGATTGAGGACCAAATCTTGACCCCTGCGAGCTAGAGGCTGGAGAGAACACACCTTCCCCAGACCAGAATAAAGTTCACTCAGTACATGTGAAGTGGTTTGGCGCTGGAAAAAATTGGCAGGCGAGGCGAGCAGTGCCTCTGATGTCACCCGGCCACAAACCAGGATGAAGGCTGACAAACGCCTCCAGCGCACTGTGATCGAAAGGCGCCCAATCTGTCCCCACTTCGCTTCGACAAGCGTGGTTACAGAAGCCGAGGCACATGCTGAAAACGCTAAGGTTCAACGACAAACTCCAGTAAATCATCATTGTCAAACCTAAGGATTCACATGCCGTGGGCCTGGAAAAAGCCCAGCCTCTGACAAGGAAAGCAGCCAGCCCCAGCACGCAACGGTCAAAACGGTGAGGATTGAAAAACAAGAACACTCTCTCCAAGGATCTTTCGGCTAATTGAGACACCCCTGGCCCCTGGCAATTCAACAGCTGAGGACCCATACTTGACTTTCACCCTCTACGGCTGTGGAACACTTCCAATGACTGTCGCGTCCCGTCCGGCAGGTTGGCTGACCAATTGGCCCCCCCTTGTCAGTTACTGTATGCTACCCGTTATATAGATAGCTGCGCACCGCATGTCGGGCGCATGAAGGCGCGAAGGATCTTGGAGAACCTCCAACAAGGAAACGCACCCAAGGTTCGCGCCAAGAAACATGAAAAGGTCGAATAAATGCGTTTGAACTCTTGGCCCTGCTTGCACCTGTCGGAGAACACCTCCTGCTCCCAGTGGTGAGGCTGCACTCAACGCCACACACAACACTGCTATCTGCAATTGGGAGATGTTCATGTGTCTGCGCACGCGCGTCCGAAGCATGGGAACCAACCCTGGCCAAATGGTTTAAGCACTCACGACGCCGAAGTTTGAGGAGGGGTAGCTACAAAACCCCGGAGGACACGGGCCTGCACATGTTTAAACAGGACAATCCTGAATCTCGGCCAGGTGCGTTTGTTTTTTGCGCCACAAATCTCGAGGGCCCCGGATTAGCCAAGTCCGAGCGTGCGTTCAAAACCTGGATGGTTTGCATGGTTGCAAACACAGGCGCGGCCACAGCACACCCATCTTATCTCCAGGTGTGACGCACAGCCCACTGTGCATTCTCTGGGCTGTCATCTGCAGGAAACCGGTGTCAGCCAATCGGCAATTCACTTCCAGCGCTCCACCGCATAACCCTTGTCTCAGGGCCAACCGCTTATATTCCGACAGTCCATGAAGGAAGATGATTCATGGCCTTCTGAGTTGTTTCACGCCCGTTCAGGGTTCTCTCCTGACACTCCGTACTACTTGACCAGCGATCACAAGTACTACTAAGGATCACAAGTTGCACCTGGTTGGCGGGAACTCTTCAACTCTGAAGCCTGTGTGCCGAGCAGCGCGTCGCAGCGCTTCAGGCGTGGTCGTGACAAAATGCTGCGGAAGCGGAGCGCAGTGATTATATAACTCCGAACCACGGCTTGCATCCTTCAAATTCTGCACACTATTCTGCACGGTTACCGTTACGCTGCGTGTCCTCTGCGACTCATTCACTCGGCAGCACGGGTCAGATCTTCCTTGCCTGCTCACCCATACAGGGGCGAACCATTCACACTCCTCAAGGAAGCCGGCTGACGCTTAGCATGTTTAACCCGCTGCGAGGTCCAGTTCGGGATCCTCCGCGGGCTGTAGTCTGGCTCCGGAGAGCCTTCGCAACCATCCAAGGACCAGTGCGCAACACGGAGCTTTCCTTGCCTCATCCTTTCTGTCTCCATTCACGATCTGTTACATTGCGGTCTTTGGGGGGCAAAACGCGCGAGTTTCAACACTGCTGCGCCCCTTTGCGGCTGTCTCCAACAAAGACCCTGCTCTCATGGCATCATTGATCACCGTGGTGGAACCCAGCTCTTGCACCTGTCGCCACCAACAACAGCTTGAGAGATGAAGCGTGTGACAGCCTCACCATCTGCCTGCTAAGCGGTACAACTGTTTGCTGAACAGCCCCTCTGCCCTCAAACTGTTTGCCCGATCAGTTTCTCAACACCATCTTCTGCCAACAACGAAGCAACACCAAGGACCCACGTGGCCAAGCAGGCATCACCTCGCAATCCTTCCATAACCTGCTTGACCAACTGCTTGCCCTCACGGGCTCGATCACTGAAGTGATATGAAGTGTCGGGAAAGTGCAATGGCCGTCTCCTCATCATCTCTGGCCACCGAGGCGCCCGACTGGGGGTCCATGTCTCCCACGCCTTTCACCATGTCCAAAAGTCGCGAGTCGGGAGTCAAGGGGGGCATGAGCAGACGATGCCTGGCCTGAGTTCATCTTGGTCTTCTGAGTCTTCTGGTTTGTGAACTCCATCCTCACACAGGTCCGAAGCTTTCACTCATGGAACCCCCACCGGGCCACCAGCATATGTAGCATAGATGTATGACCCGCTCGTCGTCTCCAGTGGGGCTGCGCCTGCGCCGCGGGTAGCCGAGCTGAAGCACAGCCCAGCAACAAACATTGTTCCAGCCACGCTCGACTCAACCAAGCTCCAGGTCAGCTTTCACTCCCAGGACGCTCGCTCAACCAAAATGCCCTGGATCCGGGAGGTGGTGTGAGAGTCCGGCGCTAGGAAATCAACCCTCCAACTGGCTCCGCTAACAGTTCGAATCTCAGCCAAATCCCTTTGCTTTTCATACGAAAAAGCTTAGGCCCTGGTTAGAGCCAAGTCCGAGCGCGCGCGCGTTCACAACCTGGATGCTGCACACGGTTGCCAAAACAGGGTAGAATCACAATAGTGAATCAAAGTGTCAAGTGGCTGGCGCGCTCACTCTGTTTTCGCCATTGAGGGCAGGCTCAAGGCGCCTAAGGGTTCGATCCATATGGGCGGTTGGAGCCCAAGGGTATGCGGACATGGAAACTGGAGGTGCGGGCAAGACCGAATGCGCATTCTGTTTCACATCCTTCGGGGGATCATTCCGCACCTTCAGCCTCCTTGACCAGGCTGTACTTGCCATCTTTCATGGCTTTCCTCAAAAGGGAGTTATTCCCGAGCCTCTTTGTCAAGGCGTCTGCTAGCATGCGAGGTCCTGGGACCCAGAAAGTTTTCGTGCGAAGCTGCTTTGCAGAAATGCAAATCACTGCAACATCGATTTGTGCTCGGCGACATTGGCCGGCGTTCCCGGAGCGGCGGCTCAAGAGGTCGTACAGGGCCTTTGCGTCGGTGACACGCGCTCCGGTGTCCTTGTCGGTGATCCTCACCGAAGCCACACTCTCATCCTCATGCTCCGGCAAACGAAGCACCATCGCAGACTCAGCATCTCCCAGCCTGGTGCCATCAAGCACTGAGGTGCTGGGATCCAAGATCTCGTGCCAAAGCGCACGAACCCACTCAACCTCTGCCAGGGCGTCGTCCATGGCTAAGGCCTCCGACCCGAGGATCGCTTTGATCACTCGCTTGAGTTTGTGCGAGCACCAACTGTTCAAGCTGAAGTCGGCCTTCTTGCCTTCGAGGATGCTGCGGTGAGCTAAAGCCAGCAAGAATCCACCTTGGCTCTTGTTCTCAACATTGGCCATCGAGGCATCAGCTATGGCCATCCAGATGCTCTCCTCAGGTGCAATGGGAAGCACCCGGATGTAGACATCCATGGTGGCCTTGAGCTCGCTGACTGTCTTATTGGCCATCAAAATGTGTTCCACCGTAGGACCAGTAGAGGGCCAAGACATGCTCATCGCACACGCAGCTCCGACATCTGGTCGTCCTTCTTTGCCGACCCACAGCAAACTTCCTCCAACTCCCCTCAACCATGAGATCTCCTTCTCATCCAGGATGGCTTCTTTCTGGCGCATGCGGTCCTTGCTCAAAGTAACTGGGCGAAGCTTCTCTTCGATGTACCGCTTCATGCTCACCTGGATTTCGTGGTTGGGAAGCTGCTTCAAAGTCCTGCCGATGTACTCAGCAGAGGAGCCATGCGCGTCCTTCCATTCTCCAAACTTCAGTTTGGTCCGCAGCTCTGCCATCAAAGAGTGGTGGCGTTCATTGCCTCCTTGACAAAAAATCATCAACATCTAAGAGCACCACGCCGGCAACAAACATCTTCTTTTCTCCAAGTTCCTCAGGCGTGGGCTTCAGGAAGTTAGAGGCATGGATCAAACACACTCTCCTCATAGCCGAGGGACAGAAGCAAACGGCGGATCGTGCGCCTAAACAGCTGGTGCATTCACCAGTCCATACACTGCTGTCAGGACTCTGATGAGGTTGTCCTGCTCATAGCCAGGTATGCCGGTGGGTGGCATTGAAGCAACAAGGGTCCCTGCTCTCGTTCCACAGGGTCGCTTTGACCAAAAGCCCATGATGAAGAGGTTGTAGCGCAAGGAAGCTAGGATCTGGAGCGTCAGCATCACAGTGGTACTGGAAGGTGTTGGTGCAAAACGTTCAAGCTGAAGGCTGTCGGGATCTCGGTGTCCCAAAAGAATCCATCTGGCCTTTGCCTTCCAATCTTCTCCCACTTCTCCAGCTTTCTTCGTGATGATGAATCTGCTGGGCATGATTCTGTGGGAGTACTTCTCACGCACCCATTTGATCTGCTCCTTGGAGGTGATCATCTCAATGGCATTGGAGCCAAGGTTGTCAATCTCTTTTGTCTTCGCCTGTGCAAAGAGTTTGCGCTCGACTTCACTGAGGCGCTTCTCATTTAGCTCTTTGCCACTTTGCTTGGTGAGGTAGGAGAGGGAAGACTCTGCTTGCAGGAAGTGGTTGTAGTAGCAATGCAGGAAGTGGTTGTAGTAGCAATCGCTCTTGGCCACTTTGTGGAAGACCTGCAAGTCACGGCTGTTGGCTACCACAGGAAAGGATCTGCGGTCGCCCCATTCAGAAACATCATCTGCTCGCCAGGCTCCAAAGATTCTTGAGCGGTTGACCACTCGGTCATCTGGCGCTGGCTTGTCCAAGCTCCTCTTCATAGTCGCGCATCTTCTTCTAAACCTTTCTGCCGGTCAGGTTCTTCTTGAGGGCCTTCAATGGGTTCTTTGAAGGGCTTACCTGGGTCAGGATGACCTGGAAGAACTCTGTAGACCAAAATGGTCTCGATGCTCCGGACTCGTTCAGGAAGCTTTTCGTGAGCCTTGTGCACGGACATCTCTGGTGTAATTGGGATGTCCTGGATCACCTTGTTGGTGTCGATGGTGACTCTTCGAATGACATCGTGCCAGAGTGGACCTTTGCTGTTGGATCCTCTGTATCTGCCGAATGCTCTGCAGCTGCCGGCGCTGATGCTGTTGCTTGTGTTGGCTCATCGGTTGGTGAGTCTGTGAGATCGATCGGCGCTTGTGCGGGTCGAGGCGATCGTGCGCGGTCTCGCCTCCCGCTTGTGTCTGCCGGTGGTGGTGTCTCAGCACGGGTTAGTGCTGGTGCCTGTGCCGGTGTGCCTGGAGCCGGTGTCATAGGAGCCGGTGTGGAAGGATTGGGTGTTCTCAATCCTTCGGGGGGTCCTCGAGGTGTTCCTGGAACCTTCCGGTAGACGGTGCGCTTGTCTAGTGGCGCTGCTCTTGCTGGTTCTGCTCGTGCTGCTTTGGCTGGTGGCTCAACAAGTTGTGGTTCATCTTCATCCAAGTCTTCAGGCGGATCGCCCTCTTTGGTGACATCCACATAGCCAAGCTTCTCAGGGTCATAGCGAAGTCTTTCTTTCGCTTTCAGCAGGTCAGCCGCCACGGCTTCGATCCCCTGCTTCTCCATGTTCCCCATCTCAAAGATCTGGG